GCGAAAGATTTTTATGATCGGACAACGAACACATGTTCGGATAACGAACACTTCACTGAACAAACACAAAAAGAAGAGACGTAAAATAACGAATACCGATAGGTCTTCCTTTGTCTTCAGGCAACAATTCAAAACTTTTCGGAGCACGGGAGACGTCGACATCGACGTTCTACCCAGTATATACTGATCGGATAGTATTCTTCCGAACTTTGAAACTCTCCCTTGTAATTCCAGCTTTTTATATTTCTGACAGAAACAATTCTTTTACGTTTTCTTCTGAAAATGCGGATATATGCCGATATCTGCGATTAAAGATTTTTTGAAGAAGTGGGAGGATGTCAGAATAACGGTCTTTTAAAATGGCATCCAAACCAAATTGAGGTTAATAGGCCTAGGGTTCTCTACAATTACAATGCTATTAATTACTTCTGTAAAATCATAAAGACAGAAAAGCAATCGACATTAGACAGATTCTTTAACCCCCACAAACGAAAAAACATGACTAATAAAAATGCAAGACTGTGTACGTATGTATTTTTATTATTACATATAAATAAACATAGTAAGAAAGTATATATTTTTTATTTTTAGAAATCTCCAAAACGAATTAATTAAATTCCCATTAAAACCTGTGGTAAATCGATAATCAGTTAACAAACAATTCAGATAGCGAACAAAGTCTTGGAACGGATTATGTTCGTTAACCGGTCACCCACTGTATTATAAAGTTAACGAATTTTTAAAAACTGAAGGGTTAGAATGGAAAAATTGCTGTGGAGTATGCACAGATGGCACAAAAGTGATGACAGGCCAAAATATTGGTTTTAAATCATTTTTTCAAGCTGCTCATTATGATCATATAATGTTTACTCACTTTCTTATTCATTGGGAGACCCTTGTAGCAAAAAAATTAGCACCAGAATTGAATGATATGCTTCAAGATGCTGTTAATATTATAAATTTTATTAAGAGCCATGCCCTTAACAGCCACTTATTTTCAAATCTCTGTAAAAATATGGATTCCCACTACACAAATTTATTATTACATGCGGAAGTAAGATGGATATCAAGAAATCAAAGTTTAAGGAAGATTATTGTTATTAAATATTTTTAACCAAACAAAAATGTGATCTTGCTACTTTTCTCAAAATGACATATGGCTATCCAAGTTGTGTTATGTCAGATATTTTTGAGAAATTAAACAACCTTAACTTCTCTCTTAAATCCCGAATGTTACCCCAAGCATTATTGCTGATAGGATAGGTGTGTAATATAATTCTGATCAAACATTCGACATTATATTTATATGCATTATCATTTTGCAGTAAATTCAATAAATAAATACTTTTTTACAGATATAGTCCTCGCACCATCAGATGCATTTTTTTACTATTTGATATTTGATTTTTTATTATTATTTTTTTATTCTTGCAATTAATAGTAAGGTAAATCATCGAGTTTTACATTATATTTATATAAATTATCATTTTGCAACCAATTCAACAAATAAATACTTTTACAGATTTAGTCCTGGCAGCATCAGATGCATTTTTTTGCTATTTGATTTTTTATTATTACTTTTTTATTTTTGCAACTACTAGTAAGGTAAGTCATCAAGTTTTACATTATATTTATATAAATTATCATTTTGCAGCTAATTCAATAGATAAATAATCTCTTACAGATTTGGTCCTGGCAGCATGGAAGTTGCATTTTTTTCTACTTTTTTTGTTATTTTATATGTTTCAATGTTACATTTTTACGTAAAAATAAACGTGTTTTATATGTATAAATTATAATATGTATATTTATATTACAAATATTCTTATTTTCACTTAATTTTACGATAATAAAGTATAGTAAAAATGTGTTTAAATCAAAATATAAGTTTTTATTTTAATGTGTGATAATTTAAAAACGAAAAAACGTATATGCATAAAAGTTATATATAACTCTACAAAACAATATTCTACATCGTTCTGGCTTAATGCCAACAAAAATTAACTAACCGAAAAATGTTAATTTTAACAAAAAGTAACGAATTTTCAAGTTAAGATGTCAGTTTATGATATAATTTTTTTTTCTGATAAATTTCTTTCATAAAATTTATTGAAAAATGTTGTATTTAAAAGTAAATATATTTAAAAATATACATGATTTTTTTCACACGAATAAATTAATAATTTAATTTTTGGTGAATTTTTAAAATAATATTGCTTGATTCACCTATAATGACCTTGGTCTTTCTAAACAATAAACGTAAACACGGGGGCGTGGTGACTGCTTCTAAGAAGGTTAATAGTCACTTGGAGCACAGGAAGTGAGCTAACTTTAAAAATATACATGATTTTTTTCACACGAATAAATTAATAATTTAATTTTTGGTGAATTTTTAAAATAATATTGCTTGATTCACCTATAATGACCATGGTCTTTCTAAACAATAAACGTAAACACGGGGGCGTGGTGACTGCTTCTAAGAAGGTTAAAAAAAAAAACTTGCAATATATTTACTTTGAATGATAAAACTGAAACATTTATTACAAAGATCAAAGTTTGGCAAAGTAGCATAGAAAAGAACTTATTCAAAATGTTTTCAACTATCAAAAATTTTATATCCGAAAAAAATCATTATAAGACTTTATTGCAAAAATTATTATAGGTCACTTAAAAGCGCTAAAAAGTGCTAAGTCACTTAAAAGCTCTTTCGTAAATATTTTATCTCAAATATTGATTTTAAAAGGTTATCTTAAATTCAAAACTCATTTTTGATTGGCTTGGGTGAGATTGATCACTTGCCACAAAAAGCTCAAGAAGAATTTGCTGAGCTTTCAAGTGACTCAAACTTGAAACTAGATTTTTCAAAAAAGCCTTTGACTAAATTCTGGATCAAAACTAGAACCGAATTTCTCATGATCTCTAATATGGCATTAAATGTTCTTCTGCCATTCATCACCACATATTTATGTGAAATTACTTTTTCAGCTTTAACACAGATCAAATCCCAATGCCATTCATCGCTAAAAAATGTTGAAGAGATTTTATGTCCAGCAGTGTCAAACATTGCACCAAGATTTAGTTTGTTATGCAGTAAAAAGCAAACACATCATCTCATTAAAAAACAATTTTCTTTTAATTTTTTTATACTTAACCATTTAACACTTACCATACTACAAACGTAAAATTACGTTTTCTGCATTCCTTTCGCAAAAAAAACGAAAAATGTAATATTAAGTTTTTCGAAATATTTTGTTATCTTCAGTTTTAAAACGTATCATTACATGTGCAGCAAAACGTGAAAGAATTATTTGTGTTGATTAGTTCTTATTTTGACCATTAAAGGGCATATTAGTTTCAGAAATTTAAAAAAAGAGTTCATTGTTAAGATTACTTGAATAGTTCGATTTCGAGTTCGGTTGTTATACTTCGGCTTTTTTATTTCGTTTATTTTATTATTTTTTCTCAGAAAGTATTAAATATGGCTCAAAGACATAATGAGGAGAATATTTCTCGATTTATTAACAAAGAATTACACAAATATAGTGACAATGATTCTGATTTGAGTGATGAGAGTGGTAGTGAATACATTTTAGGCACATCTGGGAGTGAAGAAAGTACAGGTAAGCGATATAATTTTATTTTCTTTGTAGATATATAGTTTATAAAGTATGTGATATTATATTATTAGATCAAAGTCAGATTCATGTATGTATGACAATGTAAGTTCCATCCCCTCTACATCTGCTTTACCATCACATCCACAAAAGAGAGCTAGGGTGAGTGCACAATCTACTAGTGATATGGACTGGAAAGACGTGGACCAGATACCAAATATTACTGTGTACACTGGTGATCATGGTCTTCAGAAGAATATTGGTCTTGATTAAACTAGTGACTCTATTAATTTTTTTAATCATTATGTTGATCAAGAGGTCATTTCAAATATGAAAAAGCAAACAAACATGTATGCAAGGCAGAAAATTATAGCTCTTAGATCTAAAAACGTTCTAAGCCCCAATTCCAGATTTGAATTGTAGATAACTCTGACTTTGGCAGAAACAAAAAAAATTATTGAAATTATACTGCATATGAGCATCAATGAAAAGCCTGATTTGATAAGCCATTAAAGTGAAGACCCAGTAATAAGTTGTAATTTTTGTCCTAATATAATGTCAAAGGATAGATTTTTGAATATTTTGTCCATGTTTCACCTGAATGACAATTCTAAACAGAAAAAGAAAGGAGAAGAAGGCTTTGATGCTTTAAACAAAGTGAGGCCTCTACTGGATAATACAATAAATAAATTTCAAAAAACATATTATCCTAAAGAGGCTTTGGTTGGTTGGTTGGTTGGTTAACTTTTATTGGCACAAAAGCCATACATGCTATACTGCGCCACAACACATAGTGCAATTCGAAGTAGAAAATAAATAGAAAGACATATATACACATAAACAAAACATCACAGTTTAACCATTGAACAGCCAATGGTAATATAAATATAAAATCTATAATATAATAAAAAAATAAGTAACAACAAGAATAAATAAATAAGCGACAACAAAAATAAATAAANAAATCTCAAAAAACGGCAGAGCACAAATCACATATGCTAACTAGAGCTTTCTGTACAATTTACAGTGCCTCTCAAACCCAAGAAAGTTTAAATTAAAATTAAACAAAAAATATCTCACATAAAATTAATAATTAGGTATATTGTTGCTTACACTTATCTGTTTTTTTTTTCAATGTCCCTTTAGCCCTTTTAAATATCTATAAACAAAATATTTTCTGCATAAAAATTTCTAGTATGAATTTTTCATTTACCGAATTACCGGTAAATTTCAAAAATTTACCGGTAAGTTTACCAAATGCTTTTTTTTTGTCAATTTATCAGTTAACCGGTAAATCGGTAAACCAGTATACAATCCCTAGTAGATGGGAATATTAAACATTTCATGTGACACGTAACAGATTCACTTGGAGAAAGAGAAATATCTGTTTGAACCCGATATGTCTTGGTAGATTTCAAAGCAGCAGCAAATGTCTTTTGTTTCATTAATGTACCTGAAGTGACCATGCATCAGGCATCTGAGTATAGTATGTTGTTTACAGTTTTAACTTGCTGAGTTTCTTTTTCTCTTTGCCATGCACGACATTTCTGGGAGTAGGCAGGATGGACATCTTTGCTGTTCGCACAGCATGGAATACTTTTACCTTCAGTACTCTTGTCAAATTCAGTTCCACACTGTGTGCATACACTCTTCCCTCAACAGGATGTTTGAGAATGTCCAAACTGCTGGCATTTAATGCAATGCAGTAAATTTGGAATATATGGACAAACTGGACAGTGCAGGTATCCTGCAGTAATAAAAAATGACAATGTTGACTTGTTGAATGTGAGAGTAAAATGTTTAGTTGGTATAAACTTACCGTCTCAACGGATCAAAATGCATCGAACCTAAGTGACACCTTGGTCTGAGAGGCCAATCTGAATGTCTGATTCATCTTCAGACAGCAGATCTCACTCAGAGATCACACCACATGATGAGTTTAAACTTCCATGTGTCCCATGGTCTTTGTTGTTGAGGAGAGGTTGTTTCTACGAGTAAATCTGCTGACCTCAATTTTTGTATTTTCTTTAGATGCCCAATGATGGATTAAAACAATTTTTTAATTAGAAAAGAAGAGCATTTATATAGAGGTTTCAATCCAGTAGCATACACTATCAAATAAGCTGGCTGACTGGAAATACTTTGATTTGTGTTTGTTACCTTGTCCGGATTTTTTGAATTTTTGATATCCTTGGTTAAGAAATAATATTTCAGCTCCTAGTGACCACACCCACCATGGGGCCCAACAAGGGGATGCTGTCACATGGGAGACTCCCATAGACAGTCACCCCAGGAGCTATACCCTCACAATGTAGTCAAGAAGAGCATATCTTGTCTGACATGACAAAACTGTCAAGCAGAGATGCGTCTGCCCAATCTGCATCCAAGCCAAGGTCAAGAATGACTCAGCAACCAGCTGATTGACTCAAACAGAGCCTGATTTGTGTCTCCCATTTATCCAAAGCACTGTGTTGTGGATGTTATGTTGCCCCTCAACTTCCCGGATCCCCCTTTCTGGTATAAGAAACACCATGCATGGCAAACACGTGGGTGGCATTCAGATCCCAGGGATGGTGAAAAAGAGTTATTAAACCATCTCTGGAAGGTGCCCTCACCATGGACAAGAACCCACATCAAGGGGAAAAGGTATAAAGGCAAGCTTGCATCAAGTAAAAAAACTTTTTGTTTTCGTTCTGGCTTGCTTTCACCAAACTGATTGAAAAGAACTTAGGATCACTGAAGGGAGAAAAGGGACAGGTAATGGGTAGAACATTAAGGGTAAAGGAATGAGAAGAAGAAATGATCTGGAGTCTGAATCCAGTTGCATTAACATTGGGATGTGGGCAGATTGATCAGATTAATCAATTTTAAGGAAGGACATAACCAGAGTAGGCTACATACTAGTTTATTGTCTAGAACAGGGCTTCTTAAATTATGGGTAGCAACCCCGTCTGGGGTCACTTAGCAAAATCTTGGGGTCGTGAGATTTTAATGCAAAATATTGAAAATACTTTATCAGAGTTTGAAAGTGGCGCTCTTTGTGTCATACGTTTCATGAGTTGCACTTTGTGTTATTTCTGTTGCAGCGAGACAATGATTCAGAAACACTAATTGTACTACAGTAGTGTTGTCACTTTTCAGTGCATTCAGTTGTCTCTGTTCCATTGTAACAAGAGTGAACTGTGGTAGTACATCATTATTGTTTTAGCAAATTTGTATATATCTTCTATATGTGTAATTTCCTTTCCTTCATTGTTCTTGTTCTGTTTGTTTTCAACTTCCTAGAAACTTCTTCCAAGTGTGGGTGGTGAGTAACTGTGTTAGAAGACAAAACAAAAGGGGTAGCCTAGAGAGCAAAAGATAAGGCTTTTGAGATCACTTTCGGCTGGGATGTAAGAGATTGAAAAAGTGTGGTGGAGTTGTCCAGGTCATTTTGGCATCGTCAATTATCTTCGGTACCCATTCTTGACTAGTACTAGACATCTATCTGTCCTATTTGTCTATCCTTTGCTTATTTTCCTTTTAGTATAAGTAGTAAGTAATTTTAGTTTTTAACTATAGTTTTTCTTTGTGTTGTAAATAAATTTGTCCAGTTAATCCTTTGTTGCAAAATTTTGAACTATCGGTTCTGCCTTTTGTATCTGTTGCGTTGTTTGTGCTTGAGTACTAATGAGAGGTGTCAGAATCTGTTAGAATCCTGTAAAGTAAATAACTATGGGTAAAAATAAAGGTATCATTTTATTTGTAATTTTGCCTATATCTTTCTTATATTACACTCACCACGTTCTTATCACTACAGGACATTGTAGAGTAATATAGTTTTTTATTTATTCAGAAATTAATTTATTAATTATTATATGGAATATGTTATTTTTATGTATATATTGGTCTTTTTAGGATTATAATCATTTTTGGCCATGGATAAATGGCTGAACTTAAGTAAGTAAGGTAATGATGCAGAAGACAATGCTACAAAGTCTCCTCAAGCACGACTTATTATTGACAAACAGTCATCTAATGTATGAAAAAAAAATATAATGAGTCTTTTCTTCAATTTAGCTTTACATTTAAAAATCGTAATGGTAATGAACAATCTCTTTGTTTGATCTGCAATGAATTATTAGCTATGGAGAGTATGAAACCATCAAAAGAAAAAGACATCTTTAATCAAAGCATACTTTGTATGCCAATAAACCAAAAGAATATTTTGAAAGTTTTTATATCTTTATTTAAAAATTTTAACAATCTTTTAAAGAATTTATGACCGTTAATGAAAAATATTTACTCGTGTCATATGAAGTTTCATACTGCATTGCTAAAAATAAAAAGCCTTTCACCATTGGAGAAGATCTTGTATTACCTGCTGCTATTAAAATCATAAAAATACTACATGAAAGTAAATATGGCAATGATATTCGAAAAATTCCTTTGTCAAAAAACACTGTAGCAAATAAAATTTCTAAAATAAAGAAGAATCAATTAGCACAACTTATTACAAGAATTAAAGAAAGACCAAAATTTTCAATTCAGTTGGACAAAACAACTGATATTACCAAATTAGCTCAGTTGTTAGTATATGTCAGATATGTTTATAAAGAAAACGTCAAGGAAGAGTTGTTATTTTGTTGTCCTTTGAATGACTGTACTAGAGGGAGAGATATACAGTGGGTGATCGGTTAACTAACAGATCGGATAACGAACACTTTCGCAAAAGATTTTTATGTTCGGACAATGAACACATGATCGGATAACGAACAGCCCACAGAACAAACATAAAAAGAAAAGTAAAATAATGAATACCGATTGGACTTTCCTTGTCTTCGGGCAACAATTCGAAACTTTTCGGAGTGTGGGAGACGTCGACATCGACGTTCAAGCCGGTATATACTGATTAAATAGTATTCCTCCGAACTTTGAAACTCTCCCTTGTAATTCCAGCCTTTTATTTTTCTGACAAAACAATTNTAATTTTAATTAGGAACAGAGTCACACTCAAAATAGAGCCTTGAGGAACACCTTCTTGTTGCGTGAAAGGCCTAGATAAAGTGTTGCCCATCCTGACTTGGAATCTTCGATTCTCTAAGAAGTTTTTTATGAAAATTGGC